ATGCATCCTGGCAAAAAAAGATCAATTACCACCATAACTTCTCCCAAATGTTCCTGCTTGTAGGAAATCATTAATTTTTAACGCGTGAATTGCGCGTATGCGCAATAGGGAGTTGAAGATATGATGTGGATAATGGCACTCACTCGCTCGCTTTATTGGTCGATTACTGTAAAATTTTTTTCGATTTTAGGCTTTGGAGTGGATTTGATAGTTCTTGGCGCGTAATAAACAAACGAAATGGCGACCTTTGCTGCTGAGAATAGTGGTGGGGTGAAAAAGAAGCCAATGATTTTTCGTTTTAATTTCAACAAGTGGCACCAGCGACTGGCAGGCGTGCGAGGATTCACACTGAAATAAGAGAACAACCTTCGTTTTTCATAACATTGTAATTTACAATCCTTGAACTTGAAAGCAATCCGAAGATTCATCTAAAATGTCACTTACTCCGAAACGCTCGGAGTTTACAGGTGTTCAAAAGCTTTTTCTGTTATGGCGTGAGATTGGGGACAAAATCGATCATTACATTTCGTATTGTGTGTTGTTTCTGTGTGAAGCAACAAAAGGTGCCAGAGACTGACGAAATTACAGGTTAACACGAAAATCAAATAATACCTAAGCAAACAATTTTGGCTACCGAAGTTTCAAGATTTGAAGATTCAAAATAAATATTACGTTCTAAAATGCGAAAGTTATACACCACAAAATTGATAAATAGGCTTTAAATTAAATTCTATCTTGTTCTTGATTATACGTTGCCTAGCACGTAACCAAAATCTACCCAGATGGAAGTCCAAAATGACGGTAGCAGTCTGGGCTTAGTTATATCACTCAAAACTCGTTCCCGATTGTTTCATTTGATTAGTATAGGTAATCACATGAGGCCAAGTACTATTAAGGATTAATTGCACGAGAGTTTTCAAAATTTTCCAAAATTGCCCGAGTCGCGAAGCGACGAGGGCAATTTGGAAAATTTTGAAAACTCAAGTGCAATTAATCCTTAATAGTACGAGGTCTCATGGGATTACTTGTTTATCAATAAAGGGCAAAATTTATACGAAGGAAAATCACGCGATCAGTTTATTTTTAACAAATTTCAAGATAACGAACGGTTGCTATGCAACGGATTAGCCAATCATTAACAGGTAATCATGCCCTCTCTTGATTACTAAAAATGCCCTCGATTAAGGAAAAAATGCCCTCTCTCTCAACCAATCAGCGCTCAGTAATTTTGCCCTTTATTGATAAAGGGGGAAACATTAATGTTTTCATTAACACAGTATTGCCTTGATTTTCCAATATTTACAATGATAGACAGTAAATTTCACTTTTCACCCACATTTACTTCCAACCTTTTCTTTAGTACCAGAAACAAAAATGATATATGTTTAAAACACATGACATCATCCACCTTGTCAAATGTAATAGCATGATCATTTCAATTGTAATGCCTTCTTACCCCAACGTCACTTTGTTTCTTTCCTATATTAGCGAACACTGAACTACTGCCTGTACTCTAAATATGAAAATTAACCACAAAATTCCCTAAACCAAATAACATTAAACATAATCCAAAAAATCATGTAAGTCATCTGTCAATTTACGAGTTTGCTTACAGAGCACCTTGATTGTTACTAGGTGGTACTGTACTTAAAATACAGTACTTCTACTGACACAAAAGCATTTTTCTAAAGTTATTTCATAGCATATGACTGTGCAGGTCATGTGGATGGTTCCTGCTTGGGGACTGACATTTCAATTACCGTAAAATTCCAAAAATAAGCCCTGGAGCTTATATTTCTCATAGGACCTTTTTGAGGGGCTTATTTTTGGAAGGGGCTTATATTTTGAAGAGCTTATATTTGGAGGAACTTATAGGATATATAGGAGGGAGATTTGTGTTTCAAAATTGGCTGGGCTTATAATTGGAAGGAAATTTGTGTCAAAATTTTTTAATGTCCAACTGGTAATATTAGGGTTTTGGCTAGAAATTCATAACAAATTAATCACACTGAAAATATCAAGCTCAAACACAACGGCAATAAACTTTATTAGAACAGAAATACAGTAAATGGTAACGTAGTTCAGGCTCAAAGTTCATCCGGAATCTCTGGCACAGGTTTTAGGTCCCATACTCAAAGATGGAACAATAAATTCCATCACTGCAAAGATAAAAGGTGAAAAGTGAGGAGCACCGAAGGAGTTTGGGTTCAGGGTGGTGGGATCAAACTTCCTTGCAAATACTTTGTCTATGGACCGGAGGAATCATAATCATCTTTATTGAGGAAACTTTTTCATAAAGGATATGGTTTTTAAAAAGGACCTCAAAACTAGATATATATAGTAAAAACAACAAAGCTATAAAATTGCAAAGGGATTCAAAGATACAAAAAATGCACAAAAATTAAAAATAAGTATAAGTAAAAATTAAACGTAAGTAGCTATATTAAAAACTTAAAAACATTACGTTTAAAACTATTTACATTCTTTGAGTCTTTGATCGTCTGACTGAGGGAGTTAAAATCGGAAACGGCATGATATTGTGTTCTTTGCTTCCCCCAATTTCGTTTGACACGTGGTAATCTAAAATTGCCTTTGTTACGTGTATTATGCCTAAGAAGTACGTCTTGTCTAATCAAGTCTATATCGTGATTAATTAAGCCATTGATGCATTTGTATACGTGTACGCACCTTCTTTGAAATCGCCTTTTCTCTAGAGGCAGCCACTTGAGAACAGCTAATGCCTCAGTGGAGGATGAGTACAATGGTCTATGTAAAATAACTTTAGCGGCCTTATTTTGCAAAACTTGCAAGCTAGACATAAGGGTAATATTATGTTTATCGCCCCATACAAGATCAGCATATTCAAAAAGGGGCATAACAAGACTTTTATAGAAAAGTAGACGCGCCCTGAAAGGTAATAAATGCTTTACACGCTTGAGAAGCCCAAGCCTCTGATTGATTTTCCCAGTTAGGTGTTCAATATGATCAGTCCATGTGAAATCCGAAGATATATGTATACCGTATATGTATACTTTGCTTTCGCGTTTCCTATTACTACCGATAAGCATGCATTTAGTTTTGTCCAAATTTAAAGTCAGTTTGTGATCATGAAGCCCTTTCGCCACACCCAGTAGATCGTTATTTAACTTATCACTCAACTCCTTTGAGGATGTACCATAGCAATAAATCACAGTGTCGTCTGCATAAAGTGACGCGTAGCAGGAGTTAAGCACATTTGGCAAGTTATTTATGTAAATTACAAACAACAGAGGCCTTAAAATGCTACCCTGTGGCACCCCATGCGTGACTGAAAGTTCCATAGATAACTCCTTTCCACATCAGGTGCACTGTTGTCTACCAGTTAAGTAAGAACGGAACCAATGAAGAGCTGTTTCAGAAAGGCCGATCTCGGATAGCTTGCATAACATTATTTGATGGTCTACCGTGTCAAATGCCTTGGTTAGATTGATGAACACGGCCCCGCAAAGCTTTCCTTGTTCCATGTTTAAGAGCACTTCATCAGCAAATGAGGTCAGAGCTGTTGTAGTTGAGAAACCCTTCCGGAAACCAAACTGCTTGTTGGACAATAAATTATTGGAAATCAAGTACTGATACAACTGCAAGTGTACCGCTCTCTCCAAAATCTTGCTTAGTGTAGGGAGGATTGAGGTGGGGCGGTAGTTGGAAGCGTTAGTCCTGTCACCTGACTTAAACAATGCCGAGATTTTCGCGCATTTCCACAATTTGGGAAATTGACTCGTGCGAGTTGAGAGATTCAAAAGTTTAACAACAGATGGTGCAATTGTGTGAGCTGAGATTTTAAGAAGTTTTGCGCTAATTTTGTCAAGACCAATCGCTTTGTTTGCTTTCAATGACAAAAGCTGCTCAAGCACAAAAGATTGATCCAATTCAGTCAACTCGAACTGGAAAAGCGGGTGTTTTGAAATGGAATTTAAATTCAAGACGGAAGTCTGTATTCTACTTGCTAGAATTCGGCCAATGGAAGCAAAGAAGCTATTCATTGAAGAAGCAATGGATTGGGATGTTATATGCTGAACACCATCAGAGATAATACACTGAATACTCTCTGAAGATGAGTTCCGATTGCATGCTTCGTTCACTGCTTTCCACACCTTTTCTGAGTCACCCTTGGCTTCCTCGATCATGTCACAGTAATATTTAGACTTGGTAGTTCGTACTAAGCCATTAACTTTGTTCCTAAGCTTTGCATACATTGACCAATGACGCGCCGAGTTCGATTTTCGCGCCATTCTATGCGCCCAGTCACGTTCTTTCATAGTATCACTTATTTGACTGTTCATCCATGAAAGAGGTGTTCCCTTGACACGCCTTCTTTTTACTGGTGCGTGTTGATCAGCAACCTCCGAAAACGTTTTATTCCACGTAAACAAGGCATCGTCCACGTTGTCCTCGTTTTCAACAATATGCCAGAGAATATTCCTAAGATCATCATTAAATAAAATCGGATTAAAATTCTTATAGGAGCGATACTCGAGTATTCTCGGTTTAGTCTTTGTTGTAACACCAGCTTTAATTATGCAAAAAAACAGAAAATGGTCGCTAAGCGGTACCGGAACAACACCAGATTTGACAATGCGGTGTTCATTATTCGCAAAAACCAAGTCGATCATTGTCCGCGAGGTGTCAGTTATGCACGTCGGTTCTTTTATTAACTGAGTGAAGTTGTAGGCCCGCGAAAAGTTAAGAAGTTCTTGTTTATCTCTTTTGGGCAATTTAAATCTCGCCATCATGTCTGCTTTTAAATCGCCTAGAATTACCACATCCGATTTTTCCAGATCCACAGATGACATACTCTCATGTGGCGAAGAAATAAAGGACTGAAAGTCAAAATCCGGTGCTCTATAAGCGCAGCAGACGGGTGTTGACTTGCATTTGTTTCTAATCAACTCAATCCATAGACACTCCTGACCGCCGGTATTAATATCATTCCGCAGGCGAAAAGCCAAACCCTCTCTCACATAGATAGCTACACCACCATATCCCTCTTTAATGCCAGTGCGATCCTGACAAACGCACACGAATCCAGGAAGATTAATTTCTGTGTCGCAAATATTCCCACCCAACCATGTCTCGGATAGAGTTAGAATGTCCACTGTTTTACTGTCGATTCCCTCAAGGCGCAAAGAGTCGGTCTTGTGTACGAGACTTCGTATGTTTAAGTGAGCAATTTTTAGTCCACGAGTGTTCCTTATGTCGTCTAGCGTCTGGTAGCCGGGGTTGGACTCGATATCGCCAGCCAGAGCAATTAGAGCTAGGGCGAAACAGGCTCGATGAAAGAGCTTACAAAGCATAACAGCTTTGAGCGATTACTAAACTCTTTATCTCCGAACGGATTCCACTGTTGACGTAAATTACCCACAATTTCAGTTCTGCAGCTCACTTTTGAGACAAAATACATATCACTGTCGTTTAGAAAAGTGCTCTTCTACAGATAAAAGGACTTGTAGTTTACAAAAGACACATAAATGCAGAGAAATATACAAATTTTTGCAGAGAGCCTGAGTTTGCATCCGACCGCCATGCTAATTTAATGGTAGTGTGAATTCAAGGTGCGAGTGAAGAGTGAACTGCATAAAAGACAATAAACTTCAACACTTGTTGACCACATTACTTTAGTGCACGGAATCATTCTTTTATGACTAAAAAAGGGTTCCTGATAATGGTGATTATGTGTAGTTTGCTTTCCTTTGTATAATTGAGGATAATTTCCAAATACAAGCCCCCAGGGGCTTATATTCAGAGGGGCACATTATAGGAGGTATTTTTGTGTTTCAGATTTGGGGGGCTTTTATAGGAAGGGGCTTATACGCAGAGGGGTTTATTTTTGGAATTTAACGGTACCCTAGCAAACTTTAATCATCAGAATTGCAAGCCAAGGTGTATTTACCAATTGCTCAATGAGTCATCTAACTCAGTTACAGTGGGGTTCACTCCTTTTTGAGGCTATCTTCAGCTTGATCATCCCATTACAAGTGAAAACATCAAATGTTTCTCACATATTCAAATAATTACCTAAATGAAAAGTTATAGTTGTTTTTAATAACCTGCTTAACTCTCATGTGTGGCCAAGACAGAATTTCTCCTCACAACATCAATACAATATCAAGCAGACAAGTGACGAGAATAAGTAAAAATATTAATTAGGGGATTATTGGTTGATCCAATACCAAATTCTCAAAACTAACATCACAAGAACTATGAGGCAGACAGTAAGGAGAATTACTATTGAGATCTTGGGAGTTAAAGGGTAAATTGTCTCCAGAAATAGTAAATGGTATTGAAGAGAAAAGAAAAAAGTTCTTGAAACATTTTATGTTAAATGAAACTTTGTTATGAATGTTAACCCTCTTACTCCCACAAGTGACCAAGAAAGAATTTTTCCCAAAAATATCAATACAATATCAACTAGATAAGTGATGAGAATAAAGACAAATGTAAGTTTGGGGATAACTAGTTGATCCAATACTAAATTCTCTGAACTAACATTGTACGAATTGTAGGGTTGACAACAAGGAAAATTACAAATCTGGGGGTTCAAGGGCTAATTGAGATGGCAACCAAAACATCTGTAAGTTCTAATAACAATTACCTTTCCATGTAAACAAACAATAATGAAGCAAGATTTGAATTAATTTAATCTCACCCAGTTTGAATGTAGAATCCAAAATTAACTAACTAAGGAATAGGAAAAAGCTCACTGTGTTTTCCTGCTTCTGTCCTTCTAATTATCACAAATCAATCACACCACCACCTCAGTGTGATTATTTTGAGGGTGTGCAGTTTTTCTTATGGACATCTATTCTTTAAGTATCTATCTTTTACCAGCTCATGACAACTCCATAGCGGATTAAACGTGAACCTCAAAAATTGAGGTTGTTAAGTATTCATATATTCTGGCTATTTTTCTTTCTCATTACTTATTCATTCCAATGAGTTTGCCGACATGCCGGCATGCTTCCGAAGATCGTGAAGAGCGCAACTTCTTTGATGTAGGTGAGATATTTTTCTTTTGTTAACAGATGAAATAAACTCTCCCGGGAATCTGCTTGATTGATGTCTAATAATTGCTACGCATTCCGGTGTGTTGGGCTACATGTCAAAGACATCAACCTCGGATCAAACCCAAGCACTTATCAGCTTACATGTCTTTTCAAGTAGAAGTAAACATTGCATGCGCCGCGCGCCCCCAAACGGAGCTCGCGTATTTTAACATAGTACGGTATTTGCGATGTGAAGTTAAGAGAACAAGCGGTATCACTCGGCTCTCCACGGAGGAAAATTTACAACAATTGCGTTGTCCGATTTGCTGACAACTTTCGCTTTTGTCCAAATTCCTAACTGATCGACAGCTTCGACAGAATCGCCAACACTAAACTCCATCGCGACAATAAACAACACGGTCAGATCACAACAAGTTCATTCGAACAAGACGAAAGTTGTGAAAGAATGAACCGCCAGCGCGCGAACACGAGCACTATTTATGACACGCAATATTTACATAATAAAGAAGTAGTTTAATTCAAGTGCACTCATTCGGATCAAAACAAAACGATCGGCGCTCGAAATGATAAACTATTTTCGCTTTTGCTCTTTGCAGTGATTACAACAACTCGTCCAAGATCCATTTTTAAATCTTTTGCGACGCTCTTTATTCCTAAAAACATATTAAGGCTAAAAATACACCGTGAATAGAAACTAAATCCATTCAAATGATTGCAGTTTATTGATCTCGAGTTCATTCATCTCAAGACAATGTAAACAAAAGGATACAAGATCATAAGTCTGTTCGCGCAAGGTAGCTTAATTACACTATTGTCCAAGTCTTTTGAAGTACCTTCCGCAGTTCCTTTGGTCTTCTTCCAAAATATCTCACCTTTTTCGAAACGAATAAAACCGAAATCATTCGACACGTTTTCGGCAGCCACCGAAAGCAATGCCCAAAGGAATAAACTCAGCCTTCGAGGTAAAAAATCCAGCGGTGTCACCCATTTCAGTAAGTCACAAATAATCCGGGCTGGAGTCGTAATGTGATATCTGAGAAGGATCAAGTCCACAGTCCTGGTAATTTGACATATTGCAAGCAAACCCTACTACTGATTAAATTTTAATGGAGTTAAAAACATGAGGGGCAATAAAGGAAATTACCTGGCTCAATCCAAGTTTCCCTTCTTAATTCTGTGATATTTCTTCTTTCAAACGGTAAACTGAGTTTACCTCGCTTTACTGTCTTTTCGTTTATTTGTTTCCTTCCCTAATAACATTAACTAGTGTTGCCAACAAATGCAAAGAGCATATAAATGTTAACAGTTGTTCACAATTTAATACTGGAGAATGACTAGCACCTGATTTCTAATTTTTTCGTTACATTTGAAAGAATAAGAAAATTTCAATCATTACAATATAATGAAATCCCCCATTTTAACCCTTCTAGTCCCACTAGTGACCTAGACAGAATTTCTCCTTACACCATCAGTACAATATCAAGCACACAAGTAATGAGAATACAGAAAAATAGTTATTAGGGAATTAATGGTTGATCCAATTCCAAATTCTACAAACTAACATCACATAAATTGTATGGCAGACAGTTAGGAGAATCACTGATGAAAACTTGAGAGTTAAAGGGTAAGACACATATGGTAGTCAAATGTACCAGAAAGACAGCAAATAAATGTAACATACTCCAGGAAAGTGTTATTACGTACAATGAAGTTTCAAACTGATTGAAAGTAAGTTGACTTCATAATTCAGACTTTAGTTAAAGAAATGTGTAATATCTCTTTACGTAGATGAAAAGAGAATGCCATATATGAATTTTAAAATAGAAAATGCCAAAAACCTAAAGATGGAATTTTAACAAAACTACAAAAAATATATCATATCTATTCACTGAGATTTAATCATTAGCAGGCACACAGGGATATAAAAGAGGCTTTGTGGAAAAAACCAGGTCAATAAAATTAAAGATTCAGGGGAAGCATATGACATCAACTAGTTTACTGATGTTCTCGCTTGAATTCCTTCTGGAAAGAGAGCTCTGCAACACTTCTGTTTTATCTTCTCAGTCACTTCAATTGAAACATAAAATTGAATTATTTGCGGGCGGGTTAATGGATGTATGTTACATAAAAAGAAACCTCATACAATGAAATAAAGTAAAAGCATAATTCATCTTTATGCTTCTGAATACAGCTACAAAAGATAATTTAAGCAATCATATATATAATATTATGTAAACCAGGTGCAATATACGGTCGTAAAATAAATTTTATTCTAACCTTCCTCCTTGAAGGATGCCGTATGTATCAAATATATCAAGTTCAGTACCTCCAGATTCATAAGCCAGGCTTTTGGGGCCACAAAATAATAAAACAATCAACGCGGTATGCCAAGCCAATTTATTGAGAGTTAACTAAGTATAGTTTCCTAAAATCATATGGAAAGTTTAAAATGTGCTTCACTTGTGTTACATATACAGATTTATTGTTCTTAATTACTAATTAAAATTCCGAGAGTGTGACTCAATGAATTCAAAAGAAAATATCCAAGCAAGTTACAGAAATGGTTCACAAATTGTAAACTGATAATGTGTTAACAAAACCCCCAAAATTATGGTGCCTTAAAGAATTAAACAGAAAATATCCAGGAAGGTTACAAAAACGGACTATCAAAAAAAAGAATTCGACAACTGTAAACAACAGTTATTTACACTAACCATGTGCTCACCAGCGTGCTTGTGAACTCATATTGCCAGGAGTCCCGATCTAATTACACGATCACAGCTCAGACGCTTCTTGCAAAATGTGATGACTATTAGGGCCTGTTTACATGGACCCCAGGTAGGTGAGGTAACCCACGTAGGTGGGGTAACCCACCTGTCCATATAATTTCTTATTTTACTTTGATCACGTCTACGTGATAGGTGGGGTGACCTTCCTAGGCGAGTTGCCCGGTCTGCCAGGTAGGGTAACCCTGTCAGCCAGGGTGACAGTTTGCCATGTATGGCAAATTGTACTTTCTGAGCTGTCTCATGGCAGAAATCACCAGAAACCGCGACAGACACACAAGGAGTGTAAAATGTTCACATTTCAGAATATTTATTGTTGTACATCGACCATGTTTGGTTTCTCAAACTATTCCGTATAACGTATTAAGTCAACGGTTCCTCGTGAAACCAAACACCGCGTAACACAACACGTGACGCTTTCATGAATAAATACTTGTGTCCGAGAATTAATCTTTCGTCTTTTTTTTGAGAAGTGAGCTTAGGACGCCTCTGCTCGAACTCCTT